CACACGCACACCCATACAGTCACCCCGAACACACACAGGTCCAAGAACCATCACCTGAACACACACGGGATCACCTACCCCCAGCCTGCAGCTGACACGGTACAGGCGCACAGACACACACCCGCACACACACACAGCCACCCGCACACAAAGCACACCCCTGTGCACATATGGTCGCGTTGACATGTGCACAGCCAGCCGTGCCGTCACCCGCGTGGCCACACAGCCGCACACACACACAGTCACACAGCTCTCGTTTCTGCTGACAGGGGAATCCTGCCCCGGGCTCCAAAACTCACCCAATTAAGTGTGTTTGCAGGCAGGCTGTTTCACTTGTTCCTGCACCAACACTGCTTGTGTCTTCAAACACTCCTCATGATTGTTTGCACCTTCTGCACACACACACAGGCGCATATATATATATATATATATATGTATACACACACATTGCATATATATATAAATGCACATGTATCCATGTTTACACATATTTATATGTATGTGTGTATGCATGTACATAAGTGTGTAGAATACAATATTCCTAAGCAAAACAAGCAGCTCTTGGAAGACTGGTAAGACGAGCTCATACTTTCGAGGCTCACCTTTAGCTTTCCCTCTGCGTGCTGCTTTTTAAACACAGAATGCCAAAGCTGCAGGTAATACTCCTCAGTTTGCTCTTTATCATATAAAATTCTCATGCTTGTTAAAGGAGAGGTATTTTTGTGGCCTCAGAACAGGTAAGATAACAGGCAGGTGCACCGAAAGTGCCAGGGGGGTTCATAAAGCAGGAAGGAATAGGGGAAAAAACGCTAATGGAAAAAGAAATAATGTCTCAAAGATCAGTTTCACTGGCCTTCAAATATCAGCTATTTCTATGCCTGTTTTGGAGCTGCATAAATAACCCCATGGCCACGGGGCCAGGTAGCTTTCTGTGTAATAATTTATTTAAATTTTAATGTGCAAGTGGGGGCAAGTATAAGGCTGTTGCTTATTTTCCATTCAGCATATTGCTGAAAAGCCTTACCCATGCTTTTATATATATATATATATATATATATATATATATAAAAGCATATATATATACCCATGCTTATATATATATATATATATATATAAGCATGGGTAAGGCTTATATAAATATATATAAGGCTTATATAAATATATATATATATATAAATACATATATATCTTTCTGCAACCTTTTTTTTTTCAATAATATACTAGCAGAAGAAAAAACATCAAAATCTGTATTTTTATGAGATGTTTTTTCAACGACAGTTTGCAACTGTTCAGTACAGTAGTTATACCCAATGTATGTAAGAAATCTTAAATGGTTTTGAAAAATGGAGGGGAAAAAAAAAAAGCTTATTGCAAATAGGAATGTCTCAATTTCAAATTTGAAAAAAATATTTTAGATTTCCAATAAAAAAAAAGTTTAAAATAAAGGCATTACTTCAGCTCTTAAGCATGGGTGAATCTGCAATTTCTTTCCATGTAGAGACAGCAGAAAGGGTTTTTTTGGTTACGGAAATTACACTGGTGCATAATCCACATCCAAGCAGCYGGCTGGGTTACTCACCTGAAGTGGCATTTGAGAAACTTGCAGTTTGAGGGAAAATGGCACCGTTTAGGGTCAGCGCTGTGAGAAGCTGCGTGCTGGCTGTGGACCAAAGCAAGTATTTTCCAGCACAGTAAGAGCTACATTTTAATAGGATTTTAATAGGAAGGCGGGGGTTTTGCTGGGGGTTTTGCTGTGTGGGGCTCTGAAAGCCCTTCCAGGACGGGGCAGAGGGGCTGGAGCTGCCGGGCGGCGCTGCCAGGTCTGGGCTGGATCCGCGGGGCTCGAGGGAAACGCTCCGTTTYCTCGGAGAAGGAAAGGGCCAGGAACAGCAGGAGAATCCCAGCGTTGGGCTTTGAGTGCAGGTTTTCTCCTTCACGAAGCCTGTGCCTGTGTGCTGGACAGCAAATCCTGCCCTTCACCCACTGGTTCATCTCCACCTGCACCGCTAGCTGTGCCAGAGAAGATGCTCCTAGGAGCAAAACTGCAGCAGAAGTTCTGGGTTCTTTAAAGGAATTTCAGGCTCAGATTATAAACCACTGAAGACAACATCAGCTGCTCTTGCATTTTATTCCATTGCCAGGTATTTCTCAATTAAAGCTCTCTTTACTGTCATAAAAAATACTGATGACCACTCAGCCTGTATACTTTTCAGGACATATTTTTGGCTAACAACACGGTAGCTTTAAGGATTGAGTTTTTCTGTGGTGGAGCTGAGTCTTTGTAGTAATTGTGGCTCGAAGCAACGAGCTGACAGAGGTGGCCATGAGCTGCTAGAGGTGACTTCCCTTCCCTTCCCGCAGCTTCCTCGGGATGACTGCCCTTTGCCTGCTKAAGCTTTTACGCCAAGCCACCAGAAAGGAGAACAGATTCACGAGGAGTCTCTGTGGTGCCATCCTAGCAGAGACCCCACAAAGGAGGATCCTTTCTGAACCCTCCCTGGTGGTGCCAGATTCTACCAAGCCACCTGTGTTGGGAGCTACAAACCCCTTTTGCACAGCCGTAAAATCTGGCGCAGACCCGAAAAGGAAGGCGGCGTTCGGGAGCGTTGGGAGGAGAATTCCCTATCGGATTTTGCATGTCATCAACGAGAATGGAGAGAGCTTGGGGAACATGCACCGAGCGGAGGCGCTCAAGCTCATGGAYCAGCACAACCTGAAGCTGGTTCTGCTTCGTGAGAGCGCCGAGCCCCCCGTGTACAGACTCATGACGGGGAAGCAGATTCACGAAGAGCAGCTCCGTCGTGCAGAGAAGAAAAAAGCAAGTGCTAAAGCAGGTAGGGGCCCTGTTAATATCGTGACACCCCTCGAGAAACGCGGCATTAGAGGCGGTTTCCGCAGCTTAAATCCTCTTACTTGCGTTTGGGTAAGCCCAAAGCAATGTCCTTGCTTTCTGTGCTATTAAGGATTTGCTGGGGGGGGGGAAACGAAATTGTGGCTTAGTTGAGTCTTCCACACAGCAGCTTTCTGTTGCTTTCTCAGGATTTACTATTTTAGCATCTGCCGTTTTGTTTGGTTTTAATCTATTTTTATTTAAGAGAATAACATTAGATTCTGGTTCTATGACATGCACTGAATTTATATGCTTTTCTTAAGGCATAAATGACAAGTAGTTTTTATAAACTCTGCGAAATTAGATACACGATAAAAAATTGTATTTTATCAACAGCAGTCATGAAACAGCCCARGTAGGTAGAAGTTTGAAGCCCTTAATAGCTGCTTATTTATAATGCTTTGAAGACATCTCTTCTTTTACAGAGTGGAAGAACATTTTTTTTTCAATATTAAACATTTTTTAGTTTAATTTCTTAAATCACTCCGATAGTTTAACAAATGGGGAGTTTAGCAAGGAAGATTTAGGAAAGGCATCTGACCCTGTGTCCTCCTGTGTCACACTCAGGCTCTGGGAGGTCTCAGTGCTTTGAAGCTGCAGTTCTGGTTTCAGAAAAGACCTACTGGGCTAGCGAGTTTTCTGTTCCAGAACCCGCACAGAAAACCTGTAACTCCTTCTAAACTGCTTGTGCATGAAGAGGGGTAGAGCTCAGCTTGTTTCAACATGCAATGAGGCTTGTTATTGCCAACTGGATACTGCATTTCACCATGCCCAGGGAAAACGTGCCYGAGATTTAATTTTAAAGCTCTCCCATTTAGCTACGTACGCACAAAATTTAAGAATTCATACAGTATTCTTAAGTGCAGGTCCACAAGGGTGCTTATACCTGCTYACCCTTGTTAGACCTGCATTAGGGTCTGAACGTTTCGGTGGCTTTGTGTTTTCGTGAAAACAAATTTGCAATTAAAATAAAAATACTTTAAGCCTTTCTCCCCTACAGCCCCTCACACTCCCTCTGTGCCTCAGTCAGGTTTTYGGTTGTGGCAATGAGAGCAAAAGGCCAGTTAGCCACCGTCTGAGGTGGGAGTGAGGCTGGGATGCTCTGTGGTATGAGGAAGTAACATTGAGGATGGGAGGTGAGGAGGCAGAGCACTACAGGCTATTTGAAAAAAAAAAAAACAAAGAAAAGAAAAAGGCAACTGAAAGTTTGTCAAACGTTAAGCCAATGCTGCAACAGTTCTGTTTTAAACAGAGCAGGTTCGGAAGGAGTTATCCTTTTCTTCAAGTATCGCCAGGAATGACCTAGAGACCAAGACTAAGCAGATAGCACAGTGGATTGAGAAGAAGTACCACGTGAAAGTCACCGTGCGCCAGGCGAAAGACAGCGCTGCGGACATGGTAAGGGCAGGCTACCAAATCCACTAAGCAGGTGGCCCCACACGAACACTCCTCAGGTAATACTGTTTAACTTGCAGTGTATCCCTCGCTGCTGAAATAAATGCCTGAAGGTCTCGGTCCCGTGGCAATAATGGTTGTCCTACCTGTGTCTGTTCCAACACTGCAGTTCTGGAAGAGCAGAGACAGTCTGAGGGGCTTGTGCCTAGGGCTGCAGGGAAAACTGGTGGCCTTGCCAGCAAAGTCCCTGCTTCTTCCCTGTGCCAGCTTTTTAGTTGGATTCACAGAACTCTGCCATCCCTGGCTCTCTGGAGAAGTCACTGCTTTAAAAGTTTAGCAGTGAGATTAAAATAATGCAGGAAAAACACAGTTGTTTTTATTTAAGTAACCCAACTTTGGAAAATACATCTGTGCAGTGGGGGTATAGSTTAATTTTCCAGTGCTTTGCTGAAAGCTGCCAATGTGCTGCATTCCAGGACTATCAAGTGAATGTATCTATACAGACRTTAAAGACTTGTTGGCTAAGTTAGTATTTCCATGGCCTTTGTCTTGTCACTTGCACAAACTTTTTTCTAAAAATTCACTGTATGAAGTGTTTTTTTTAATTTCTTTTTAATTCTTTTAATATGTTCTTGTTGCAGTGAATTCATTTTTCTTGATTTTATTAAATTGCTAGAACAGATTTGCATTGTCACTTTATATGAAGGGAACAAAATTGTTCTGTTAAAGTTGAATTTACGGGGAAAGGGGGAGGAATTGGATAGGGCACATAGAGCAGAGCATTTCCATGCTACAGTCCAGGTGTAGATTTCCTTTAATTCATAATTAAGAGAAAAATAATGTGTTGAGGATTTACTTCCTTCCCCCCCCCCCCTTTTGAACACACTAGTTCAGATACAGTCCTATCATTTTCTGCTATTTTAGAACAATATTTCCCAGTAAATGGGAAGAGACCAATAATATAAGTGATTCTACTGAAAAAGATGGGGAGTGGGATGCAGGGYTGTTAGCACTTTCACAAAAGCATTTAAACAGCAAACAGAGAGTCAGAAAATTAACCTAAAAGTTAGAAATAAGGCTAAGTTACTTTTCTATAACAAATTATAAGTAAGGAACAAATTGTTAGGACAACACAACTTGAACCTCTAAAGCCAGAACTAACAGAGATCTAGCTGGCTTTAGGCCACAGAAGAACCACGGGGAGGATACGTAAGTAAAGAACATTGTTTCTACCTGTGTTTGTGCATCTCGTCCTGTTTTTTTTTCTCCTTTCAGTTCACGGTTTTTGATCAGATTTTGAAGACTGTGTCTGAGAAAGCCACTTACCTTTCCAAGCCAAAAGTGATTAAAGAGGGAGTGAGTACCTGTGTTTTGAGGCACATGTCTGAAAAGGAGTTGAAAGCACAGCAGAAACTAGAAAAACAGAAACTGGAAAATTCTATCCCTGTAGCAAGGAAAGATGAGAATGAAGCTCCAAAATCAAGTGAGTTGAATCAGTAACTTTAATGAATATGTGTGAATAGTATTAAATTCTCAATAATAATAATAAAAAAAAAAAGTTATTGTCAAGCTCTGCATTGGTCATTCCATAAAGTTGTCTCAATTAACCCTTACTGCAGAGTCAGAATTTCAACAGCAGGTATTTCGTTTTCCAGGGGCTGATCCACCGTYGTGCTTTCTGTCGGAACGGCAGTATCTCCTGGCTGTCTTTTAGGAGGAATGTAGCCACTCAGGYGGGAGGCTAAGCTCCTCTTAGGACGGGACCGCTTCTTCTGTGAGAAATAAATCCAGCATTAGCAACATAACATATATGAGGAGGTTTTGCTCCGTAGATCATGAATGAAAACACACATGCTTCATTATTTAAAGTAGTTTCAGCAAGTGGGATTCCCCCAAATTAAAGAGAGAGCTGGCCTGTTTTYCAGTCTGAGGTCAAATTTTAAAGCATTTAACATTGTATCTTCCTCTCTAAAAAGACAGGAAATGAAGAGTTAAGAGGATTTCCTCTAGCACAGGGCTTACTTTTAAGTTCAGCTTTCTCTTCTCTGGGTCATGTACAATGGTGTGCCTTGCTAGGCTCTGCTGCAGGGTGCAAAGAAGGAAAGAGTTAGGCTTTCACCATGTGTGATTCAGGTTAAAAAAAAAATCAGYGTATAAAAATATGCGTACCTTCATTGCAAACACTTTTCCACAACCTGGGTAATCACAAGAGAATGGCCTTTTCTCTTCGTGGAAGGAAAGAATATGGCTCTGAAGGTTGAAGGGAGTTGTGTAGGTTCTCCCGCATCCTTCTCTCGGGCATCGGCAAAATTCCCTCTCCACGGCGTGGATTTTTTGGTGCTGCTTGAGATWATCTCTGCGTTTAAAAGTTTTGTGACACTCGCCACAAACTATGGGCTCTGAGGGGAAAAGAAAGAGGCAGATAGAAGTTAACAGCTTTGCAGAGGGATTCAGATGCAGAGGAATTCAGAAGCGAAGTAGCAATYGTCCGAAGCAAAGCTCAAATTCACAGGAACCGCCGGGAATTCGGAARCGAGGCACAGAATAATACAGTATGAATCACCCAGGTAGGAGAGCGAGTAGTTTATTCCTTTTGGAGTCCAGCTAGAATGGCAGCTCTTTTGCCTGTTAGGAGCTGCAAACAGTTTGTCCAGATGTAATCACAAGCAGCAATTCTCTTGAAATTAGCATTTGGTTTCCTATTTGTAAAACAACACACTATCAAAAGTTAAGAAAATTCCATTTACTGCACAGAATTTAGTGTTTGGCGTTTACCTGTATGACTTTCTTTATTGTGTTTTAGAAATTCTGTCCAAGTTTTTCCCGTAAATGAGCAGTTTTCTTTCTTGCACGTGTAGCCTGTGGAGAGACATGAGAGCCGTGTACAGTCTCAAAGGCCCTGACCAACCGAGTCCAGTTTTACACAGCTGAATTTCAGCCTTYACTGGCTGTTTGACATGTTCGGTGTATGAAAACGAAAGGCAAKTGCCCCTCATCTCCTCTCACACTGCTCCAGAAAACACGTTGGGGTCCCCAACCCTGGAGAAACCACACTGGGGTCCCTAACCCTGGAGAAATCAATAACTGGACTGGACACAGCCAGGAACAACCCTAACTGGCCCTCCCTGGAGCAGGATGTTGGACCACAMAGTCTTCAGAGGTCCCTTCCAATATAAACAACTGTGGCTTAAGGAAGCAACCTAGACACAACACCAAGATGCTCTTCCTAGCCCCTTATTCCTTYTTCCTAGGGCTGGAAAACAAGCTAACTGTCACGAAGGCTGCTACCGTGCATCCATTCTTTTCAGGATTAGCTCAAACACAAACGTGCCCACCACCCATCAACCCCATTTAAATACTTTCCATGTCAATACATCCATAATGTCAAAAATTCAATGTGCATGAAGGTTGTGGCAGAACTGGCAAGAGATCCTTATCTCCAGAGGCCTAGACAAGAGCCTTAACCTGAATCCCATCTTCTCTCCTGAAGAGGAATTATGGATAAGGAAGTGCACTGGAAGAAATACAACCAGAAGGGGCCCWGGGCTCTCTCAGCCTCCCAAAGTGAGGCTGTGCCTGCGGACGGTTCTGCAGTTGCCTCCTCAAGGCAGCTGTTCTCGTTTTGTCCAGCTGCATGGCGAGGCTCAGTCTGCTTTCACATCTGCTAAACATCTGCACCTGCTGTCTGCCATTGTTCCTTAGCTGAAACACAACCGAAGGAAAAAGGAAAACGTTACCTTCATGTATCTTCTCATGCTGCTTTAGTTTGCTTGGAGTAGTAAAGTGTTTTCCACATCCCTCATGACTGCATCTAGGAATTAATTAATTAACATTGGCTTAGTTTTCCCCACACATACAGTTTTTACATGTGGAAACAGTTTTCCACATGTTCTTTTCTCCAGTAAGGCGAATGCAACATCAAAGGGGGCAAAATAACCCACGTCCCTTTGCCTAGAGATCTCTTCTGCTCGAGACCTGATCCGTTTTGCTACTGAATCAGCCCTGAACCAGCCTAAGCCGCTGGGGCTGCAGAGGAGGGAGACAGGGCACTGCAAAGCAAGAGCTCCCAGGGGCCTGACCCAGCCACACACTGCGCTCAGGGAAGGTCCATCTACAAGAGACAAACATCTGCTTTGCTCCCACGCTGCTTCCAGGAGGCTTCCCGTGCCACATTAGCAGTCTGCTGCCATGCCCAGCTTCTCAGGCTAGTCCAGCCAAGCCTCACCCCCCTTCTTAAACCGCTGCTTAGCTCGGTGTTAGCAAAGCCACTGTGTTTTGCTGAGGAACAGAGGCGATTTCACTGTCTGTATTCACTGCCACGCAAGAGTTTTGGTTAGGTTGCACCCTAGGACAAAGTGAATTTTTATTTTCTCTCCCTGGGAGCCTGAAGGTTTTTGTTTTCTCTCCCTGTAGCCAATGGAAACACCTGCAGCTCAACAGGACAGTGTGTCACGACTGTCACCCAGACAGGCTGTACTGCACAACAGCACAATAAAGGCACCTTCACCCACGTCCACAAATTCACAGAAATTTGTTTCAGGTTTCAAATGCCACATCAGCAAAAAGGCGGAGGGAAGGCACGTGCTTCCATCTACAGCTTTTAAGTAAAACAGCCACAGTTCATTATTAAAATTATCCACCTACTTGAAGGGAGGTTCATTGGTGTGTTGGCACTGATGAACTTTAAGCTGTTGATGTTTCCTAAAAGACTTGCTACAGCCTTCAAAGTCGCACTGCGTGGGGAATTAAGGTATCATTAGAGGCCAAGAAAAGGGAACCGAATTTGATTTCCGAGTCCACAGCAGCTGCACTCCCACAAACACAGCCCCATAATTCCACAACACACACGAAGTGGGGCTGCCTGAGCCTTCCTTTTGCAGCACGAAGGCTAAGTTACTCACCACGTACTGCTTTYGCTGGTTCTCGTGCTTGCGTTCGACGTGCTTCTTCAGGTTGGCCTTTGTGCCAAATTTCTGATGACATCCCTCAGCCGTGCACCTACAAATGAACAGCGTGCCCTTATTACCGCTTTCAAATAGCCGTTTGTTTCCTAAGCAGACRCATAAATTGTTGGACAAGGCCAAGAGAAGGGCTAAAACTTACAACCCAGATAGATGGAAAAAACAGAAGAGTTTAAAAGTAAGATAAAGGTAAGATAAGTCACATGTTAAGTTGCTATCAAAAATACCACTGGGCAAACATGTCAGCACCCGGAGTTTTAATAAAGTATGGAAGAATTCCTAAGAATTCCTGGCTTCTAATCCATGACACACAGCTGTCAAGGGTTTGGTAACATTAACTGTTCTCCTCATACCGTTCAGTTATTGGGAGAGCTCTGCCCCATGCTGCAAGCCTCCGTTTCGGGGCGCTGCCAGATCCGAGGTTTTAAACTTGGGAAGATTCCCCGAGATTCCCCCGAGAAAACTTGGGAAGATTCACCCGGGTGGGGTGCAAAGGGGGGCCCGCTACCAAAGCACGGCCCGTGGGCGCCRGTTTCAGCTCCCCTTCGCTTCCAGCAGGGCAGGAGCGGCCTGATCTAAGAGCAGGGGTTAAATAAATAAATAATAAATAGATAAATAAATCAGTAAGTAAAATCTGTGCTTACTGGAAGGGTTTTTCACCGGTGTGCGTGAGCAGGTGCCGGGTGCGGTGGAAGTCGCGCGTGAAGCCTCTCCCGCAGCCCTCGTAGGGACACACGTAGGGCCTCTGGGGGAGCAGAGCGGGAAGGGGGGATGARGCGGGATGGCGGGAATGCCGGGAATGGCGGGACGGGCCGCGCTCACCTCGCCCGTGTGGCCGCACAGGTGCGCGTCCAGCCGCCAACCCTTGCTGAAGGTGGCGTCGCAGCCGGGGAAGGAGCAGAGGAAGCGCCGGACGGGCTGCGCGCTCCCGTTCCCGCTCCCGYTCCCGCCGTCGGCGCGCGCCGCCGCCGCCGCGCGCTCCCGAGCCATGCGCGGCGCCGCCGGGTGTCCCCTCCCGCCACCCGTCCGCGCCGCCAGGCCAGGACACCGCGGCGCAGCCCGCGCCCGGAAGGAGCGACTCCGCGCATGCGCCGTGGCCGCACCGCGCCTAAGGAGGCGGGCTGCGAGCGACGCAGAGGGGTCGAGTTGGGGGCCCCGGGTTCGAGTCCGGCGGCTGCCAGTTCGAGCCCCGGGAGTGTGGGTTCGAGTCCGGCGGCTGCCAGTTCGAGTCCGGAGCCTCGGGCGGCCTTCCTCTCACTACCGTTTCCATGGTCGTTTTCAGGCCGCAGTTTCAATCATTGTAACAGCTGCTGCAATAATTATTTGTGCGCTGAGGTGGTGTTCATGATGTCAATATGGATGCCCGGGTACATGCAGGCTTGCCGTGGTTCCCCAGTGTGGCACTGTGTCCTCAGTCCCTCCCTCAACCCACACCAGCCCTGCTGTGCRATTTGGGCATTTGCAGCCCAGACAGAAGTCTCTCCCTGCCCAGGATCTCGAGGGAGAAGCAGCTCGTCACCATGACCCGTGACTGTGCCACATCCCCATGCTCCAAGAGGACTTGGCTTGGGACAGGGGACGTCCCTGAACRGGGGGATCCGAAACCTCACACAGCACCTCCCTGACACCCAATTTCCCATGTCGGAGCTATCCCATCACCTGCTACAACCTGCAGGATGTGTGGACTTCATTTTATCAGACAGGCCTCTGAATTGACCGTTTGTCCYTGTGTTGGTGAGGGCTGCCGGCAGGCGCAGCCGGGGAGGCCAGGCCCAGCTCTAGGGACATGGAAATCCCGTCTTCACACGTCTGTCCCGATGCAAAGACGAGGGAACCAGGGTTCCTTCCTGCTTCCAGCTAATCCTTGCAATGGGGTAAACTTTCCCAGGGATTTACTGGGGAGTACCAGGTATTTCATGGGTATTTCCCAGAGAGCACAGACTATTACCCCGGTATTCCCTGTGAGTGTTGACTTTGTCTTCCTAGCATGTTCCAGCCACTGTGTGGACTTCCAGCCTCCTGGAATTTTCCTTTTCCTTCCTCCCTCTGCAATTTTCCCTGCAGAGAGTGAGTGCCAGGAGAGGAGGGGAAGGCAGGCACAGGATGGCGCCAAGGGAACCATCCCTGGGAGAAAAGCTCCCATTCCTTCTTCTCTTTATATATCCCAAGGGCTGGAAAAGCCTGAGCAGATGGTGATGCTGAGAGGAGGTGCTTAGGCAGGAGAAATGGGAGGAGGGAAGAGGTGGAGATAAGGGACAGGAATCAGTCGGAAAGGAGGGGATTTGGGGATAGAAAGGAGGAGGAGAAGGACGGGTGCGCAGGCATTTGGGGGATTGGACAGGGAATGGGAAGGCTCCGGGGAGAGCACCAGGATCCAAACATCACCATGGCCTCAGGGGATGTCTCTCATCTCTTAATCTTAGCATGATCAACAGGATGGCTGCAACAAGCAGCTGGACCTTGCGAAGCAAAGGCAAGAAATGCAGCTTATTTTCATCTCTGTTTAAGAAGAGAAGTCAGCCTGAAGACATTTCAGATTTTGGCAAATAGTAATCAAAAGGGAAAGGCTGCTTTGATTTCTTATCTCAGAATGGAAATAGAAAACACACTTGAAATTGAGGGGAGAAAAAAAGTGATTAATCTCCCCTTTTGGGAATTTGCCTCTTAAAATATCATATTATTTCAGATCTTCCTATATTATGCAAGGAAATATTATGCAAGGAATAAAACTTCTGCAAACTGTCATAGCAGACCTGGAAAGAGCAGTGGATTCCCTGAGATTTAGTCTTGCAGTAACCTCTAAGAGGTAAATTAAAAACAAGAGAGAGAACTAAGTCAAGAGATATAAAGGAATTCYCAACGCAAGATCCACTCTTCCACTAGAGACCTTTAATAATCTATGTTCTGTGAAGGGACAATAAACAGAACATAGCTAAGGCATGAGGTTCACTTAGGGAAAAAAAAATAAATAAGGAATAAGCAGGGTGGATAAATCCCTCAGACTCTGATAAGAGGATGCCTTTAAGCCTGCAGAATCCAGCCAGAATTAAGAAAAAAATCCATGCGTAATCACAATGAGGAGCCTCATTTTCACAGAAAAACTTCTGAGTGAATGAACTGCACTTTTTTTTAACCAAAAGCTATGTCATTTTCCCACCATGTTGTTCTATTGTAGATGAAATCATATTTATTCCACTAATGTGAGGTTCAAATATTTCACATTAGTATTATCTGAATGTCTGTATTTATGTTAAAGACTTTTCATGTCAATATGGACAGCTGGAGCCATTATGTTCCTCAGGCTTGATGAAGGGGTAGATGATGAAGATACACTTTCAATGAAGGAATTTCTGCAGGGTACTGACAGAGTATGAAGACAAGGGAGGTTTGATTGCATGGCTTTTTATGATTTAATGCATTATTTGAAAAGCATCTTGTAAGAAATGTAGTCATTCTTGAATGCTAAGTAAACCTTAGGAATCTGCAGGAGTATAGTACTGGGAAATTATCTACATCACAGCTTAATTCCAGCTCTTTCATTTTCTTACAAATTGTGAAATTAAGTACTTATGTTTGCCCAAAATGCATCAGTGAAAATAATGTGGTTTTTTTGTTTGCATACAGATAGATTGAACAAATTTACTAAAAGTTACASTAAACTGAGCTCTAAATTGAAGTTACTTTCAGTCACAAATGGAAAAAAAACCCCTTATTTGCTTAAAATACAATAAAAGCAATAAAAGATGCTTAATACTCTTTTAAACAGTAAGTCTTATATTATTCTAATTGAATTGTATGTTTGTGTGATGTTTCATTGAGAGGCAAAAAGACATAATATACTAAGGGGAATACAATTTCCCTAACACAGTCCTAAAAATTACGTGTTGTGGTTTGTTTGTCATGTGGTTGTTTATTCCCACCAAAACAGTAGTCACCCTAGAACTGTCCCACGTGTCGGAGCTTGTTACCCCTTCCTTGACATCAGACTTGTTCCTTTAAATCAGACTTAAAGTCAGAAGAGTCACTGGAAGAGGCTGTTCCCCTTTCATCCCGTTTTCATCCCATAGGGTTACCACAAAAAAAAAAAAAAAAAAAAAGAAAAAGTCCAAAAATCTGAAAACAACCAAGAGAAACGCCCAGTAAATTCATTGCTTTTCTCATTGGAATGAATATGAAGGAATTGAGCGTGGGGGCCGGAGAAAGAGCTGTGATTATTTCTTGGCCCCACTAGAAATTACTTCCTGCTTTTATAATATTGCTTTAATCTTCTGTGTTGCTTTCCTCATCTCCAACCTGCTTGCAAGGTTATAGGGACCTCTGCACTTCCCTGCTCAACAACAGCTTTATTCTCTTCTTCATCAGGACTTAGGCTCTTCCCCTATTCTAAACTGCAGAAGGGCTTGTTTGGGCCACAGCTAAGAGAGGAGATGGAGTATGGGGGAACTGTGCAAACTGGGGACCAGTGGGGAACTGCAGTTAGGATAATGTTTCCTTGATCTTTCTGTTTACAGAATCAGAGCTGACTTGTAACGCTGCCAGTGTCCTCAGGAGCCCCRCCGAGGGATTTCTGGTAAACACAAAAACATGTTAGGAAGGGGATGGAGTTAATCAGTTGGGCTTTCCTGCTGCTATATTCGGCCTAGCAAGCTGACCCTGACAGATGTTTCTGCTTTTAGGCCACAAGGAACTTTATTGACTGGTTGTCCCTGTGTTCAAGAAGCATGTAAATCTATCGGAGTTGCTTTTCATAAGAGCCTTCTCCTGCCATTTTTWAAAAAATCTCTGTCATAATAGATTTTAATGAATTTCCTGATAAACTGCTATCACTGCAGAATAAAGAGGGAGTYTGCATTGCTGTGACTCTGCCACGAGAAGGCACGGACTGCAAGTGACRGCAAAGCTACACGGCAGAGCTGYGTGGAGCAGCTTTTCGGTRCCRGGTGACACTCGTCCCTCCTCTCCCCTTGGCCCTGGGTTGCTATGGGGCTTTCCACAGAGCTCTCACGGGAGCACTAGGCATGGGGAGCTGGTTGCTTGCACYGTGCCAACACTCGCCCATGTTTCAGGTTTCTGAACTGGAAGGAAAATAGGTTAAATTAGACTGAAGAGTGTCCTGCTGTGTGAGCTGGTTCGCCATTAAAACATCATGACCGGATTCCCATCTCCATTTCACCATCCCAGGCCCCTGAAGTTAATACATTTACACCTCAGTCCTGCTGGCACAACTCTAGGAAGGAGCTGATCTGCTCAAATAATATCTACATGAATATCAGTCTTTCCTGTCTCATGGCACAGCAATATAATACCTAGATTTGTGTTTGCCTTGAAAATGGTGTTTTTTTTTTTCTGCTCAAATAATATCTACATGAATATCAGTCTTTCCTGTCTCATGGCACAGCAATATAATACCTAGATTTGTGTTTGCCTTGAAAATGGTGTTTTTTTTTTTGTTTTTTTTTTTTTTTTAAATCAGTTACAATTATTTGCCCTTGCAACACAGGCCTCTTAAGGCATCAAATTACATGGGTCAATAAGGAAGGCAGTTACCTAGCTGACCAAAATTGCAGGTGCAAAATTCTGCCTGCAGCTATTTGTGGCCATAAAAGCAGGTCATCCTCCCAAGGGCAGCTGCAGCAGAAGTTGCCACACTCCTTCCTGGCCCAAATCCCTCAGGAAGTCTCTCTGGCATGAAGTCTGTTCACTTGGGGGAAGGAGAAGCACAATTTCCCCCATCCTCTCCTGCAAGCCATGGCGAGGTGCAGTGGTTGTTTTAGTGGACCAAAACATTATTAGAATAATTGCCGCTTCATCAGACAGAATTATTAGTCTGGCAGTAACATGTTGTATCACGACACTTGTCTCAAATGCCCGCTAATTATCAAAATAAGCAAATTTGCTTTGTTCCCACCACGGGGATYGCTGCTCTCCCGTCTTGGGTGTGATCTTGCAGATACAGCTACCGGCGGCTGTTGCTCCGCGGGGCCGCGTCA